AGAGTAAACCTAGTTTTATTTTATGCATTGAGATATTTTGTTTGAGTTGTTTTTGAGTATATGTCATATATTGTTGTAGGTTCTCCTAACGATCCTCAATAGGATTTTCGGGTCTTTCGTCTGACGTTCCTTTAGTTCTATATTTTCCGGGTGAGTGGGATAATCTTTAATATGCATATAATATAAGTAAATATGTATGTTGATTATATGATGAGTACGATTAGTTAATCTCTTGAATATTTATATTTATATATTTTGCTTTGTTTTCCGAGTACTCATCTATTCTTGAAATTTGCACTCGCATTTTGTTGAGCTAAATTCTATCTGATATGATATATGTTTATAACTTGATATATGACTTGTCAGTAACTCCATGCTAACGGAGAGTAGTTAGCCTATGTGCACATAATATTCTGTATACCTAGCTAGTGAGAGAAGCATTAGCCTGTGATGACTGATCATCCTACAGTGGTCACTTTCGGGTGTCATCTGGTCACCTTCGGGTGTCATCTGATCTCTGACATGTATTCCACTACGTTATGATAATATGTTCAATATGTATATGTATATGTATATCATTCTACTACGTTATGATAATATGTTTAGTATGTATATGTATATGTATATCAAGATATCAAGGCATAATAGATATTTACAGAATCATCAAAGAAACGTATATCATATCAAATATAATTTAGCTCGATAAAATACGAGTGCAATTTCAAGAATAGATGAGTACTCGGAAAACAAAGCAAAATATATAAATATAAATATTCAAGAGATTAACTAATCGTACTCATCATATAATCAACATACATATTTACTTATATTATATGCATATTAAAGATTATCCCACTCACCCGGAAAATATAGAACTAAAGGAACGTCAGACGAAAGACCCGAAAATCCTATTGAGGATCGTTAGGAGAACCTACAACAATATATGAAATATACTCAAAAACAACTCAAACATAATATCTCAATGCATAAAATAAAACTAGGTTTACTCTCCTAGGTTTAGGGACTAAAATGATAATTATCCAAATAGGGACCAAAATGTAATTTTACCAAAACTGGACCAAACTGTAAATATATAACCATACTGAAATTTCACCCATAAACCATCCTTCATTCTGTCCAGAACGAACTAGGGACCTAAAAGTAATTTTTATAAAGTTTAGGGACTAAAATGTAAATTCCTAAAATTTAGGGACCAAACTAAAAATATTCCAAATCAATTATCAAACTGAGATTCATCATCCTTAACCTCATAATAACACTGTCCAGAATCTCAAAATACCATTAGGGGTCAAATTATAATTTTCCCAAAGTTTAGGGACTAAAATGTAAATTCTTAAATTTAAGGACCAAACTGGAAATATTCCAAATCAATTATCAAACTGAGATTCATCATCCTTAACCTCATAATAACACTGTCCAGAATCTCAAAATACCATTAGGGGTCAAGTTATAATTTCCTCAAAGTTTAGGGACTAAACTGTAATTTCCATAAATTGAGGGACCAAATTGAATTTTCGTCATTTTCAACCTCAAACCCAGAATTGTTCACAGATTACCTACTGTTCTTTCCAGACTTCCAACTCAACATTCACAATTTATACAAATCATAACTCAACATTATCATCTTTACCAACAATCTCTCAAAATCAACTAATTAATTAATTACCCACAATAATCAACCCTATAACATTCAAATTAATTCATCAATTAACCCAAAACATAAATTTTCTAAACCCTAATATTTATCAAAACATAAATTTAAATTTCAAACAACGCATTTATACATTTAACAACCTAAATCTTACCTTTAAAGTTATTTCCTCTCAATCTTTTTCCTTTTCTTTCTCTTCCTCTCTTTTCTCTTCTTCTTCTTCCTTCTCCCTTCTCTTTTACGGTTTGCTCTAAAAAACACAGCTCTTTCTTTTTGTTCTTTTGTTTTTTTTTTTTCTATTTATATTTATCAACTATTATTCAATTACTATAATATCCCTTATTTATTTTACTCACTTCTAAGCTTTTAAGGGCTTTGTTGCCTTTTCTTATTCCTTTTTATTTTTCAAAACATTACCTAGACATTTGCAGCTCTAAGCCAATTTAGGAATCAAGGTCGATTCTCCTGCAAGCTAGTAGTCCTTATTTGCAACAAGTAAACGAAAACATATTGCACAACCTCACATCTTGGATTTCACTTTCTGAACGAGCTCTCTTCTGAGGATTTTTCCTGAAGCTGATTTAGGTACACTACTGATGAAAGTCACCTTCCGCAATCTTTTGAAAGGTGCCAGCTGCAAAACAGAAAAAAATTGATGGTGAACTCAAGGAAATGATGGCATTGGTGAGCTTATCACAGAAAACAAAATGTACGGAGTGTATATTTTTAAGCATTTCAACTTCATAAAAGGAACTTGATAGCAAATTACAGCAAAAACTTATTCAAACATCACATGCAAATTAAAGAAAGAAGCCGTCATTTTTTTAACAATGAGGAACAGAGCAGCTGGGCTGACCATTATAGAGGACTCAGCACAGCTTCGTCAACTAGATGGCATGAATTTATTTTAGAAAATAGAATTCAACAGTTATGATAGTGATAATACTACATTGCTATATGTGTTACCCAATCTTCGATTGTAGTACAGAACAAGTTCACCCAAGTTTTCTGCAGTCATCTAATGTTAATCCAAAGCAAGACCTTCAGAATTCATGGTTACCAAAAAGGTGGTAGACGAAGAAAATGAGTCAAGCATAACTGTATTCTACTAAATGAACTATGATTCTCAAGAGAGCATAACATTTTCCATTATATGCCACTAACCTGATCAGAAATAAATTTCTGAACATCTTCTTCTGTCAGTGCGCTGTTGGGTGAGCGCACAACATATGCAACTGGGACTGCACCAGCTTCAGCGTCAGGATATCTACAGCGAGTAATACAACTAATCAGCTGTATGAATATTAGATATACATTAACATGGAAGTAGTTTTTTACGATCTCACTGATGTCAGTGGTACAAATGCATGGGTTCAACTTACGGGGTGACAACAGCATCCAAAATTTCAGGATGAGAAACTAGCAGCCCTTCTAGCTCAGCTGGTGCCACCTGGTGAAAATCAATAGAGACAAAAGGAAAACAGAATTCAGTAGCTATTCAGCTCAGAATAGCCAAAGTGCAGGAGCTGTGTTGCAATGTATTTATACAGGCAATAAACAAATTTACAAATATTTATGAATTTTCTTTGCTAGATATTACCTGAAAACCTTTATACTTGATGAGCTCCTTAATCCGATCAACAACAAAAAGTTGTCCATCATCATCAAAATATCCAAGATCTCCAGTATGTAACCAACCCCTTTTATCTATGGTATCTTTTGTGGCTTGCGGATTATTGAAATAACCTGCCAGTGGATTGCACAACATGGTGGATTTAGTTAAATGGATATTTGAAATATGATTCGAGCAAGAGAATCTGATTGTAATCCACAGTTGCATCAAGCTGACCAATCATGCACACAGGAAGTTTGGTCATTTAAATTACCTAGTTAGACCACAAACATTTTGTTTTTGTACTACCACCAAAATTCTAGGAGCCATTTGTGCGAGAACTGAAAGTTTCTCAACGATGCAGGCCAATAAGCATCTTACCTCTCATCATATTGGGTCCCCTAACCCATATTTCCCCTAACTGATTAGGAGGGAGAGGCTTTAGAGTTTCCACACTGACTATCTGGGCCTCAATTCCTGCATTTAGTATTCCAGCAGAACCAGAATGTCGAACACCTATTCTCGGATCCTCCAATGAAACAATGCCACAAGTTTCAGTCATGCCAAAGCCCTGAAACCACAGAGAGCATCTTGATTCAGAAAGAAGAAAATCTTTCGTTTTTTTCTTTGAGAAATCAAAAGGAAATGATTGTTTGTGCATAAACGAGAACATCAAAACATTTTATATTTTCTCAAACTTGAATTATGATTTTCTTAGGAGCTAAAATCAGCCATATCAACTACCTGAATAATTGTAGTATCCGGCAAATTCTTGGCGCATTCCTTCATCAAATCTTTTCCCAGAGGAGCAGCGCCTGAGCCAATATTTCTCAATGACGAAAGGTCATACTTCTTAACCAAATTCTGTTTAGACAAAGCAAGTATTACTGGGGGCACAACCCACATATGGGTCACTCTATACTTCTCAATAGTCCTCAAAACCATCTCAAATTGAAACTTCCCCATTGACACTACAGCATTTCCCATTTGAAGCTGTGAGTAAGTAATCACAGCCAAGCCAAACACATGAAACATGGGCAAGAAACAAAGGAACACATTGTGTATCTCACCTGCCATTACTTGATCCATACTGACCATTAAAGATGCAGCAATGAAATTCCCATGAGTCAAGATCACTCCTTTACTAACCCCTGTAGTACCTGACGAATACAAAAGCGTAGCTATATCACTTTGCTTCACATCACTCACAGGAAACTCAGAGTTAGACCCTCCTAACTCAACCAAAGAATGGAAACTTCTAATTCTTGAATCTGACTCCAATGGCAAAGACACTTCTTTTGGTCCTAGAAAGACAGCAGGCAAATTGAAGCCTTTGACTTTGTCCCATAATTCAGGGACTGTGATAACCAACTTGGGATTGGAATCTTTAATCTGTTTTGAAAGCTCTGAGGTTGTATAAAGAGGATTCACAGTTGTTGCAACAGCACCAATGGAAGTGATGGCCAAGAAACAGATAGGGAATTGGTATGAATTGGGAGCAAAGATAAGAACAGCATCATTTTTAGAGATGCCCAGATTGAGTAAACCATGAGCGAACTTGATAACAATGGATTTGAGCTCTGAAAAAGATAAGGTTATTGACAAATCTGCATCGATAAGAGCTGATTTATGAGGATAAGAATTGGAGTTTCTGAAAAGAAATGAGACCAGAGAAAGATTAGAATCCTTGGGAAGAACAAGTGTTGGTCTTAATGACCTGTATATACCATCACATCCATAACCAGATTTCTCCATGTAGCAGGTACAGAAGTTCTTTCTCTAGGTGATAACTCAAACAGAAAATCTCCCACCTGGATTGAATCTAGTGGAGCAATTGAAGCTGGCGTGTGGTCAGCTAAGCTAAGAGGAGGAGGAGGAAGAGTACAAGAGTGGTTAGAGAAAATATAGGAGGAGGAGGAGGAAGAAGAAGAAGAATGTAATGTTTTGAATAAATGACCAGTGAAATACAATAAAGTTTTTGGTAGTTTAAAGTTTTTATTAGTTTAAAGTTTTTAGTATTTTAAAGTGTGGGTATAAATAAATAAGTAGTAGTATAGTAATTTAATAAAAAACTTGATAAATATAAATAAAAAGTAAAAAAACAAATAAATGAAGTGATCTGAAATTTGAGATAAATGAAGTGATTTGAAATTTGAGAGAGAATCAATAGGAGAGAAAAAGGAGAAAAAAAAGAAATTAGAAGAAAAATAGAAACAAATAAATGAAGTGATCTGAAATTTGAGAGAGAATCAGTAGGAGAGAGAAGGGAGAAAAAAAAAAGAGAAAAGAAAGAAATTAGAAGAAAAATAGAAAAGAGTTGAAGGAAATAAGTTTAAAAATAAGATTATATATAAATATTTGTTGATTAAGTTTTAAATTTGGTTTTGATAAATGTTAGGGTTTTAAAAATTTATGTTTTGGGTTTGATTGATGAATTAATTGAATGTTATGGGTTGATTGTTATGGGTAATGGATTATTTGGTGGATTTTAAGAAATTGAATTGAAAGATGATGATTTTGAGTTATGATTTTGTTTGAATGGTGAAATTATATTAGAAATAAGGAAAGAACAGTGGGTTTCTGTTGAAATTCTGGGTTGGAGGTTGAAGATGATGAAAATTCATTTTGGTCCTT